GATCTCAGGTTACTCTGCTATGATATAAAATAATTCAGCTTCCTATTAAGTTCTGTTTTCTCTCTGATTTCAACTTTGAGTCCATTAGCGCTGTGTATAATAAAATCAAAATAGATTTTGTTATGGTTTAATCATATATTAAGGAGCAACTCCCTATTACAGGCAGACACTCAGTAGTACCTTTTCTGCCATTAGGAGTTAACAATATTATTACATTTCTAGGTTATACTCATGGTGTATATAACAGGTCTAGAAGTATTATTCTATCTTTTGAATTTGCAATTTATGGCCATGAATTCTGTTTTTCTCCAAAAAATGAAATGTGCCCTGCAGAGTTTATTCCAAGCTGCCTTTGAATAGTTACCAGTGATGACAACAACACAATGGACTGACAGTTGTTTGTATTTACCACTATAATCCTAATGAAAGGTTAGAACTTCAAGTATACTATATAATGGTAAATTACTCTATTCCATTAATTGAAATTTCATTATCACCATCAGATGCTCAGTCTTTACAATTTATGAAGAAACAAATGGCTATGGTAGCAATTAGGCCATCTGAAGCAGTTTGACTTCTACATTTTTCATAGAGATAATTAAATTATTTAAACAAACTGTTGATCTTGTTTTATTCTCTTACTTTGTGCAAGCATGTGACTAAAATGCTCTCTGTATAATGGAAAAGTATCTAAAGTACAGTTGTCAAAAGAGCAGAGAAATTTCCCCTAAGGTCTAGCAGAGGGTATCCAAATGCAATTTCATTAAAGGCTGCTTCAGTCATCGTTTTCTCAAGCCAGGTTCAAAAGGGCTAAGCCAGTTTTTTAAACAAATTTTTAATTATTGCATGTGCCCTTTCAAGTCAGTGAAAAACAATCACCTCTATACTCATAAAGTAATTGTGCTCAATGTCTACAGAGGGCACAAGGCCCCAATACTTTAAGCTGGTGCATAGACACGTTGTGCTGCTGTTGAATAATGTTCTTATTTGGGATGTGTCAAGGCCAAAATTGCATGCTTAATTTAAACATATAGTGAAGCATCAGTTTGTTTTCATTTGAAAGTAGAGTTATCAAATTGAAGTCCTTCTCTATATTAAAACTGTTAAAACAAATTGACAGTCAATATTCCTAAATTTTAACTTGATTAATCCTGCTTTTAGCAGTTGCTCTATTGCATTTATATAAGATCCTTCATTAGTCACTGAAAAAAAGAGTTTGTTTCTAACAAGTGAGTTTCAGATTCATATTAAACTCCACAAAATATTAGAGATATTTGGGTATTTTGTAAATATATTGATATGCCATATATTTCTTTGTCATCTGTATTCAAAATAATATTATGTAAACAATCTCACATGCAGATAACTAATTTTAATGGGAAAATTTAAGTAGTTTAATTTTATCCTTGACTATCATAAACAGATATTACAGCAGAGGAAGGACAATACCGAGACCTTTTTTTTATTGTGAAATTTATCAAGGAATTGATGGATTTCAGTACCACAGATGATGTGTTTAGAGGACAGACCATACCAGATATGTGCTAGCCACTGATGCTGTTCACTATGGTAAAAACTCAATGTTCTTATTATCACAGATCTTTTGATATTTTCAGTTCACTGTACTTGTTACTATAAATTAGTCACATTTTAATGAGTTTTTTCCTCAAAAAAAGAACAGATTTATGAATATTTTCTTGAAAATGGTATGGTATACTTGAGAACTAATAATGAGTGACAATGAATTAAAAACATTTTTTTTTTAACTTTTTCCTGGAAATTGACACCACTGGTCAAATAGGAAGCAAAAGCAGAGGGAAGAGTGTCACATCTCTTTAGCATCATAGAATTCGTAAAGCTAATTTTCATATACTAGCCTTGCAAAAACACAAGGTAGAAATCACCACTGCAGCTAGGGAAGCTTTCTACATATTGGCACGTTTGCGTCAATGTAAACATTCAGAATTGGTTGAATCTTATTATCAAATAAACGAGACTCAGTTATTTACCTCAGATTAGTAGATGCCTTCAACAAATTCATTACAGACTGAGTAAGAAGCAGGAGATGTCCTTAAAGAATGTAGGCCAATTTATGGTTGTAATGCTAGTGGTTTCCTTTGTGTAAAATAAACAAAAACTTTCCCCGTGATTTAGATCCTCTCTTTTAATATATTGCATTGCTCAAAACTGACTTAAATCTTATCTTGATCTTCAATTCCCTGCAATATAGGAATAATATAAGAGGTCATTTTTAATAAGCTTCTGCTGTTTAAGTGTTATTCAACATTTTGTCATCTATGTCTTAAATATTTTTAATAGTAATTTAGCAATTTTAAAATAAACTCACATTTGTGCAAACAAATATGGCCACCCTGAATTACGTATTCAGTATTGTTCTTCCCAGTAGATGATCAGACAATGTTTTAATTTTTAATTCTTACGTATTAGATGGCTTTATGTTTGTAAACATTTCTCAAATTGATATACAAAGATCACCTGTATCATTCGAGTTGCTCATTGAAAAGGTAGCACTTGGGCCCAGATTTATATTCTCAAGGTTAAAATTTCTGTTTATTGGACATAAGTCTCTTTTTTTTTAAAGATTCTCCCCATTTTTGCTTCCTAAAATTATAAAATCAATGCAGAAGTCAATGAAACACTCTTAGAAGTTCCGTGCTTTTAAATTTTCTTTTCTTTGATGCTTCCATATGCTTGCAATTCAGGATAAACAAGAAACAGCACCAGGTGTTTTCTCGAATTATTTTTTATGCTTCAGTTTTTTATGCTGGTATTTTGCAGCAGGTTCTAATCACATTCTAATGTCTAAATTTGAGAAGAAAAAATACATCCACATTTTTTTATACGAAAAGAATGTTAGGAACAATAGTTATTCCATTTCCCTAATCTTAGATCCAAAAGATCCAAATTACTAATTCATATAAGTTTATACCAAGGAGATAACTCTCCTAATCTTAGGTATTGTTAAAAAGAACAAATTGCTCCTATTAAAAAATCAGATCTCTGCTTCAGAGTTTACTAACTGCCTTATGTTCTATGAATTTGGTCACTTTTAAATGTATAATTATGAGGGATTATAAGTAAAATGAGTGACTCATTCACATAGTCTTTTTTTTTTTGCTTTTTTTGGGGGGGTTCACACCAGTAATGCTCAAGGGTTACCCCTGACTCTGCACTCAGGAATTACTCCTGGAGGTGCTTGAGGGACCATATGGGTTTCCGGGAATCGAACCGGGTTGGCCATGTGCAAGGTAAGCACCCTACCAATTGTGCTATCACTTCAGCCACACATTCACATAGTCTTTTGTCTGTATTCTATCTAGCCACAACATCTATAGCTAATATTTGTGTCTGAATGACTTGTTTAAGTGATATCTATCTTAAAAGATCCAAATTACTAATTCGTATAAGTTTATACCAAGGAGGTAACTCTCCTAATTATACATTATTCTTATTTCACAGAATCCATGTTAATTTAAGAGATTAAAGTTCACTTTCAAATTACAAGATCATAATCATAGGTAGTCTGTCAAATAATGTTAGTTGACAAAAAGCAAAAAAAAAAAACCTTAAAAGCCTATTCAAAGGTAAGTTAGACATTTTCTTGTTTAAATGAGCAGAATCACATTATGAGTATAGTTGAGAATTTATTTAAATTTTTATTATGTTAGACATAGAGCCCAGAAACGTATGTGCTCTATTACTGAAACAAATCCTTAGCTCCAGAATTACTGTGATTCTTAAACAGTACAGGGGCTGTGGCTGGATACAGTGGATAGGATTTGCACATAAGCCTTGCACATAAGCCAAACCAGGTTTGATCCTTGACAGTCCATAGGTCCTCCGGCCCCATCAGGACTGATCCCTGAGCACAGAGCTAGCAGAAAGCCCTGAGCACACCCAGCTGTGACCCACAAGCCAAAAACAAAGAAAAATTTTAGAAACCTAGTGACAATATAGTTTGTTAATTAATAATGACAATATGGCTGGAGCAATAGCAAAGCAGATAGGGCATTAGCCTTGCACATGTCAGACCCGGGTTTGATTCCCAGCGTTTCATATTGTCCCCCGAGCACCGCTAGAAGTAACTCCTGAGTGCATGAGCCAGGAATAACCGCTGTGCATCGTCAGGTGTGACCAAAAAAGCGAAAAAAAAAATAATGACAATAATATGAAAGAAATAATACTGAAGTTTTAAGAAATTACAGTCACATAGTTATCATTAAATGCAAATTAATAATAACAACATCTTTTTTCTTAAGTCTAATCATATATTTACTTGAATTATTATAACATTAATGGCATACAGCATTTTCTATTTTGATAAATATATGATTTATTCAAATTAATACATCACTATAAATTAATAAAGTTTTGTTGCATGAATTCATAAAATTTATCAATATAAATATTTTAACTACAGAGTTATGATTATGACAGATTAGAGGAGTAAATTTATGAGAGTGTTATGAATCAAATAAAAAGAAATTTCCTGTGGAAAAATATGTTAGTTGAGGAAATATTAAAAATGTAAAGAAATATTTTTATGGAAGTTAAATTACATTTATAAAGGTCTTTAAAAAGAGAAAAATAATCTTTCAGTGGAGAGATAAACAGATGTATGGATAAAAATATATGTATAATGACAATTCACAGCACTCAAGTTGTTTTTAATACGACCTGCCACATAAATATCCATATTGAATAAAGAGTGTTAGGTTGGAAGGATAGATGAGATTGAATAAAAATAAGAACAAAGATTTAAAAGTACAGAGTCACTGAAATATGAATGTGGTGTACATCGAGTTCAGGTCAAGATCTTATGCCTAGTTTTATGTGGAATTAAGCTGTGTAACATTGTGTTTGCATAATATAAAAGAAGATTTGAATTTGCATATATGAAAAAATTTCCCATTTGTTTATCCAACTAATAAATGTTAGGGAATGTTGAGAAATATTTTTCTTTTAAAAGGTTTTAACCTGTGCTCGCTTCGGCAGCACATATACTAAAATTGGAATGATACAGAAAAGATTAGCATGGCCCCTGCACAAGGATGAAATGCAAAGCATGTGAAGCATTCCATAAATCACAGCACCCAAAAGGAGAGAGAGAACAAAAGGAAATTCCCTGCCACAGGGGTGGAGTGGGATGGGGGGGGCAGGGAGGGTTGGAGGGATGCTGGGAGCATTGGAGGTGGGGAATAGGCACCGGTGGAGGGATGGGTACTCAATCATTGTATAACTGAAACCCAAGCACAAAAATTTGTAAGGTCAACAACTGTACCACATGGAGTTTCACTAATAAAAATTTTTAAAGAAAATATTTTAATCTACTTTTATTTCACTGATTTAGGGTCAAAAGAGGTGTGAGAATAAACAATGAATACCTAACTTAGATTTTTAATTTCAACTTACCTTTCAATTTCATATGTTTAGCTTACACAGCTAAAATTGCTATATGATGTTAATTTTATAGTAAAAAGAAAACTCAGAAATAGCTCAGACAGTGTTTTGGTGTCTTAGGGGAGAGCATTTCCAAAGAACATCTTTGAACATTTGCATTCAAATTCATAAAATGTCCGATTGATGATTAATTGGTTTAATATGCTTTCTATCAGCATTATCAGCATTATCTTCATGTTAAAAGACAGATTACTATCTCAGTTATAAATTACAAATTAGGTAAATTCCACTGTAGTAAAGAACTACTTTAAGAGCTACTTTTATTGAGTGTAAGTTAGAATTTCCATTGTAATCACCAAACTAAGAATTATTTCTAGCATTAGATGGATATTTATTGCTCTTAAATTATTCTCAAACTTTTTTTCAATTAAGAAAAAATGTTATTCCAATTTTCCCTCCAATAATGTTGCAAGTAGTGTTCCAGAAGGATAGTACAGCTGGGATGGCACTTTCCTTGCACACGGCCAAACAGGAACAATTCCTAACACCCTGAATTCTTCCAGGAAAGATCCCTGAGTGCAGAGGGAGAAGACCTATTCATAGCTGCATGCTGCCCCAAAACAATAATGGCAAAATGTTGCAAATGTCCTGCAGCAAAACTTTTAAAGTAGCAAAAATATTATTTTATACAAAATTAGGTTTTTCCTACAAATGAAATAACTAATAATTTTAATAATAAATAATGAGAATACTGTATATGAAGTTTTGCATGAATTTAATGAACATAATTAACCTTTGTCATAACCTTATCTCGTTGACATTCATTATTCATGTTTATTTTGATATTCTGTGAGAAAGTGATAATAGAGTATCAACATGAATCATATCTCACAAAAATGATATGCTGTTTTAATGAGAGGGTGCTGAGGAAGATAGCATAAAGAAATGGGACTCATACTTTGCATATTTTAGACTCCTTATATGAGTTCTGGCATCCCAAGATCCACTCAATACCACTGGCAATGACCCTGGAGGTCATCCAAACGCCACAAATGGACTTTGGTGACAACAACATTACAGAGAATAAGCTGCATATCAGTAAATAGGCCTGACTCTGAACTCTCCAGTCCTTTTTACTAAGTGGGGGTTGGGGGGATGGTGGTAAGGAAAAAGGGACATTGGTGGTGGAAAATGTACACTGGTGAAGTGATGGGTGCTGGATCATTGAAACAATTATGAATGGCTTTGTAATGGTCTATCTCATGAATATCCAATTTTTTTTAATAATATGAAATTCATGCCCAGCTTAATTGAGTAAATAGCAGTATTCCTGCATTTTTTAAAAAAATTACAACCATGATACATAAATTTTAAAAAATATATGGTTTCTACACGGTTTTGAACCCAGTTCTAGAAACCATTCCATATGAATAAGATTAAAATAGTTAAATGTGTTTCAAATTAAAGAATACGTTTGATTAAATTATTGGCACATCTTTCATAAATCAACCCCAGTTCTGCTAATGATAACTTCTTGTTCAGGCTTTATTCATATCCCTCTCATTTCCAATAGGTCAATATTTTCTGGCTTGCATTGAATATATATATATATATATTGTAATAACATCCTATAAACAATAGGTCATGCATTTATAAACATAACTATATTTATATATTAATATCTATGCATATATGTATAAATATATGTGTATTATCCTGTATAGCTGGATTCTAAGAGAAATAAGAAAAAGGTATTCAGGGAGATCTGAAAAAGTTGAAGGGAATTTGAGGAAATAGATGACAGCTACAGAATGTTTGAGTGTTCCAGATATGGGACCAAGGTGCTCCAAGACAAAACATATCAAAGAGAATCATTCCTTCTAGCCTGTTGCTGCATATCCCAGAAGGCAGGCTGTACATGATTAATAAGCTTTAAAAACAGATTTAAATTGCTCTGCTTTAGGTTATCTGACTTCTTTTACATTCTATTCTCTCCCTTGTGTTTCTGTTTCTCTGGATTTTAATCATATTACTTTAAAATGTTCTGATCGCAGGTTAGGATTTAGCATGAAAATGGCCAAAGAAAAAAGAAAGTTTTCTGATCAGAGAATTTCAAGCCCACAGCATTAGGGGGTTGGGGACTTCTGAAGGGCAGAGAGAAGTGGGGGAGAAACCCATGCACCTGATTCAAGAAAAGCTGAGTAGCCAGAAGAATGCTCAGAGGAAAGGCACTAGGGAGAAAAGGTCAGCAACGGCCCCTTTAGGAATTGCACTCTGAAAATCTCAGATTTAATACAAGCTTCTTTCATTAGTCTAAGTGTTTCTGCACAAATGACTTGTCGTTATAATTTGGTTTAATCTTAGAAATTGGAGAGGCAATAGACCAGTTAGGTCATAGTGCTTGTCACTCCACTGCAAAAATGGAAACGGTGACTCTTGCATCTAGGCTCATAAAATTAACATAGAAATGAAAAATACTACTCTTTCCTATAAAAAAAACTACTCTTTCCTATAAAAATATTTTGGAAGTGCATATATGTATATATATATATATTTATATATATAAATCCATTGCACTTCCTATATATACATATATATTAGCAAGATTTTTAGGCATAGGACTTTACAATAAAAAGTGTAGGATAAGCAAGCTTCTGAAAACTGCAAAGCAAAGTCTTAGGAATGGTAACTACCATCATAGTGTAAAGACCCATGAAGAAAAAGGTGACTTAATTACTGCCTAGCTTCGATAATGAAGCTTAATATTCTGCCCTTATTTAAATTAAAAATAGCAATAGGACGCAATTTTTATTCATTGCTATAGAAAGCATTAAGATACAAACTACTCTTTAAATCACACTTAAGTTTACTCGGTTCAGAGAAATCCAGATGGTGACATTTATACTATTTACGATTTAAACAATTGGTGTGTCTGATAAGAAAACATTATTGATTAATAGGTATATTCAGATATGTTTATTCAAATGTTTGAATCTTTTGAAAATATTTGTTTGTTATTGTACAGTGAGGTAGTAGGGAGAAAACAGCATATTAAATCACCAAAATCAAACCACTCAACCCAAACTGCATAAATATTATAGTAGACTAAAGATGCGAATCATCTCAAAATTGTTTCTATGCTTTGGCCTATAAAAATGTGGCATTCACAAATAATTTTATGTTCTCCACATTGTTCTTCTGGAAATCTAAGTGCAGAATCACTTTTCATCTCTAGTTGCAGGTCACATTTATTTTACTTATCTATTAATTTAGCTGGCAGTGATAATATGACTAAAATATCACTTTCTGATCATGTATATTTGACAGACAGTTTTCTGTTTTTGTTCCCTGTTTCTCTATGAAAGTGCTCTGTCTATGCTGATGTACCCTTGCTGCTAGTGATAAAAGTCATCAAGCACTCTAACAAATAGTGAGAACTCAGAGGAAATAGAAAATGGCTTGACTGATAAATCAATTTAATATGTAGGCTGTTGATTCCAACCAATTGTAGCTTTCCTGGTCAAATTTAAATGTATATACTACATATTTATAAAGGTAAATAAAAATGCTATTTGATGATTTTATAGTATTTTTATTTTCAGTGACCTTAATTCAAGGTCATTAAAATTCCTCAATATTTTAAAAATTGTCACTTCAAAGATATATCACCAGGGGCTGGAGTGATAGCTTAGCAGGTAGGGCATATGCCTTGCACGCGGTCAACCCTGGCTTGATTCCCAGCATCCCACATGGTCCCCTGAGCACCGCCAGGGGTAATTCCTGAGTGCAGAGCCAGGAATAACCCCTGTGCGTTGCCGGGTGTGACCCAAAAAGAAAAAAAAAGATATATCACCATATCTTCCATCACATCTTTTTATACGGCTCTTGAGGAGATAAGAAAAGATGAAGACATTTTTACTGCATTAAATGTTGTATGATGACAATATTAAAAAATAAAAGTGAATTCAAGTCTTAAGAAACACTCACTATTCATTTATTTTGCAACTGAGTAATATAAATCTAAGAATCACGATTATAGAGAAGCCAAGTAAGTGTATGAGAACATTTCATAAGCCCTTACGTTGCTTTCTCATATCACTGTTGCAATCAACAGAAAATATCAACTTTAAAGAAACCATAACAACTGGAAGGTTTATAGGGAAGTACTATAATTACAAAAGGAATAAGTATTTTTCAGCAAGTCCTGAGAATAATTGGCAGGTTATTAGGGTATGCAAACAGAAGTTCTAGTTACATATCAAAGAGCTAGCGTAGGCTACACTCTACCTACCTGGATTGTTTATAAGTTAATAGTCTCTTCATCTTCCCAGAGAGAGTCATCTTGAAGTGTTCAAGCTGAATTTGAAAAGATGCAATAAACAAAATGGATTATTATGTTGACATTTATTTTGAAATTATTATTCAAATAATTTCAAATAACTTATGTAACTTTTTGTGTTGGGTTCAAAGCCCTCTTTTAAATTATTAAAATCTTCATTTAAATGATATTGTATTTGTTTATTATTTGTTTGAAAGTTATTTTTATGGAGTGTCTTCTAGGTACTAGATATCTTTACTTACTCTCTTAAGATTTAAAATTTATCATTGTCTCACAAATGAGTTTTGAGCAGAAAAATCCAGTGCTCTCTGTCTGAGAGTTTGGAATTTATTGGATATGACTTGATTA